GGAGCTGTAGGGTGTGGTTGTTTGTTCTTGGATTATTAGGAATATTTTCAGAATTAGAGGCAGAACTTCCTGTGTGAATCCATGGAAACAGATTTCCTCCCCACCATGGCCGCTTCCATCGGCTCCAGGAGGAGGACGATGATTGGATGGTAACAATAATCAAAGCAAAGAAGAAATGACATCATCATTAAGTCCGGTTCCTGATTGGGGACTTCCTGTTGTCACTGTCATCCTCTTTGGGTCGGGGAACAGACGTTGGTCGATGACATTGTTAGTATTGGTCACCATGGCAACCAGCAGTAACATCAAAGGAGGAAGTGAGATGACCGCGTTGGTGGCGAGGTCAGAGACCAGCTGGTCCTTCAACGTCTTTACAGACAGTTAGACTACAAACAAACACAGTCATGAAGGAGGGCAGGGGGAGCAGCAGGAGGAGGAGGAGCAGGAGGAGGAGCAGGAGAAGGTGGAGCAGGAGGAGGAACAGGTGCATCAAGCGTTCGCTCCTGGCGCCTCTCCCAGTGATGTCACATGAATTGCAGGAGCTGATTGGCTGATTGCTGGGGTAGGGGCGATGACCACACCTCCCTCCTTCAGAATGCTGCTGTGGGCGGAGCCTGGTCCAGTGTCAGCCAATCAGGAAGCTTATCCCTTCCAGCCGTCCCAGATCGGCCCTCTGGTCACAAACAGAGAGAGAATGTTCAGCGTCAAACATGGCGGCACATCTGTTTGTGTAAAAGATGAGCGAGGCCCATGCAGGCGGAGACATATGGCAATAAACTGAAACCCAAATACGGTCGTTAAAGCAACGGTTGGATGAAACAGAGAAATGTATGGTTAGGAGGTCAAAGGTCATCAGGGAGGACTGAAGGAACAGAGTGCTGGTGTTTCTAAGCTGTTTTCTGCTGAACGCAGCTCTGGTTTCATCAGAAGTTCCCAAAAGCTCCATCTGACGTAGTTCCTGTTCCTCCGTGAGCAGAGTTAAAACTATGACGGAGGGACCACCCCATTTAAAGCAGAGATTAAACAGTTAACCAAACTAACTTATTTCATGAAGCCACTCTGACTATTATCAGTAATTATATTACATGAAAAATATATAAACATAAAACAACCTGGTGTTTAGCATTTGTCAGCAGGGCGCCGCCATGTTGCAGCACTCCAAGCGGTGATGGATGCTTCAGCTAATAGTGAATATATAGATAAAACTCTAACCTATAGGAAGGAGAGCTGAGGATCTGATTATTCCTGCTACCCAACAGAACACCTGCTGGGGAGAATATGTAAAGCAGCAGACATTAGAGTCCAGTGAGCTAACGATCCATCAGACAGCCAGCTGCAGCCTGAAGCTCGTTGCACTTTAATTTCACCGCCTGTAAGCTGAGCTGTACTGACCCACCAACACTCTACTGACCCACCAAC